GTAATTATTGGGTGTTATTGTATGCATAAATGTGAGCCAATCATTTTACTTATTTTAAGAAAGTGATTAATACATATTATTTAATTAAATATAATTGAAAAATATCATCTAATTTAACTAGAAGGGTATTTTAGTCAGTTAACATAGATTTAATAAATGAAATTTGCATATTGTAAGGGATCAAAGATTCTATTAATTTTAAAAATTCGATCTTACAAATTATAAGGTTTTTAGTTCGAACATTCTAATAGAATATGTTTGAGTATGTTCAAAAATAACAAAATTTCTTGTAGAATAACAAAATTCTCGAACCATCAATTGAAGAATTAAAACAAAAATTACATTAATCCTTATAGAATACATGTAACAATTGCTAAGAATTACATTTATTTTTAAAGAATAAAACTAAAAAAAATTTCAAATCTGGAAAAAAAAACATCAAAATCTAACAAAAACACTAATACATTCTAAAAGAATAATGTTGCTAAGAGGCGTCGTTCAAATTTCGTGGTCCGTTCTTCAAGCATCAGCTTCTGTAGAAAATACAATGAATAAATTAGTGAGAAAATATTCATACTCCATTCCAACATAATTGGAATTCGTGATTCCATTCTGATAGAATTGGAATCTTTACCAATAATTATATTAATTCGGGGGATTCTAACAGAATATGTTCATGATTACCATAAAAAACATTCTTTTCTGATAGAATGCTATAAACGAATAAATACCATTCAGTTGAAGCATTTTAGCGAGCACTTGGTGTGCATGAAATTCAGTTGAAGCATTCATCTGTCAAATAAGCAAAAACAACCATGATTTGTGTTCAACCAATCAAACCCAAAAAAACTCATCTAAACCTATCGATTAAACTTCATTGATTTACAGTAAATCAATCACATTAGACAACCAATTCGCATTAGGTATTCTGATACAATATTGAACATGAATCACAAAGTAGTCTTGGAAAAAATATAGTTCTTACAATAGAGAGAACGATAAAAAACACCTAATTTAACTATACTAACAATCGGTTTGGGTTGAAGTATAGTCCTAATTAATCAGAATGTGATAAAATTTAAAGCAACTAAGAACGATACCTTTGTGAAGACTTCTGGTGGGTTCTTCATCAGTCAAAAAAGAGGCATCGTCAATATTTATGGGACAACGTCGTTCGTGACATCAATCCACTAGAAGAGCGAAGGAGATGAGATAGAGAGATATCAGATGCTCTTACTCGAGGATTTCTGATCGCTCATGACCCACGCAGCTGCGAACCAGGTCCATTCGTTAGCCCCGACGGTCGTCCCGATTGCTCCCAGCATCATCGGGGAAGGAAGAAGCGGCGGTGACCGCGAACTCATCGATCCTTGCAGTCACAGGCGACGACATCGTGCAAGATTCAGCTCCAGGCTTCCAGCTTCGTCGGCAGTAGCGTCGCAAAAGAATGCTCGGCTATTCAGGGCGTCATCAACAGCAGCTGAGGCGGTCAATCTCGGCTGGGCGGCGGCGGTTAAAGAGGTTGCGGCTGGAGCATCCAATCTAGGGTTCGGGTTAATGTATGCGACAAGGGGTGAGGGAAAGATGGTGACGGGTTTATTTTTGGAAGTTATTAAACAAATGACTAAATTAACCTTATTTATTTATTTAATTATTTAATTTTTTATTTAGTTTTGATTGGCCCACAATTATGCATACAATAACACAATACTTACTTTAAACACCTGAACCTCTCTCTCTCTCTCTCTCTCTCTCTATATATATATATATATATATATATATATATATATATATATATAATATATATATTATATATATATATATATATTATATATATATATATATTGACCACTTCATTTCAATGGTCTCTTTGTACCTTATCAATAAATTTATGTGTTTTCCCGCTAAATGTTATTTTAAATATTTATGTAATTAATTAATTTAAATACTTGTCATTTTCTATATTCACATGCATTTTCTCAAGCATCATATATTGTTTTCAAGATAATATAATTTTTAATTTTTTATGTATTTTTTTTAATATAACTTTTGATTTAATATCATTTATATTTACTATTATTTTTAATTAATTTAATATGTATTTGTTTGAACATTTGTCAATTATTTAAAAACAATAGTTTTCAACCTTTAAAATAACAAAGGATAATGTTATATATATATATATATATATATATATATATATATTATATGGGAAAACGTGAATATACATTACAGCCCCACCTAAACTTAGGTACTAAACCTAATGAAAATACGTTGTTTTACTATATAAGGATTGCGGTTAGGGATTCACGATTAACAATTGAAGATGTAGATTTAGGATCGACACAATAGTTTTGATAAGGAAGCAAAAATATTGATAATCTTAGATCTTCCTGACAGTAGGAAAAAATAATGTTCACTGTGGTGAAGTAATAAACGATAGAGTAAATTACACCATTCGTCCATCGTACATGTACCCAAAAGCACGTTTAGTCCCTATTTTCAAAAATTAACTTCGACCATCCCTTATATCATAGAAAGGTGCATGCTTCATCCCTCGTTAGTTTAAATTTGCATGTTTCATCCCCTGTGAGACTTGAAATGACCAAAATGCCCTTTGCAATTTCTTTTTCATTTATTTTTAATAGTTTTGATTATTTTTAGTTATTAAAAAATATTTAAATTAAAGTTATGGGTCCACCTAACACTTTTACATGTTATTTCTCTTTTTTTGAAGAACACTAAACCACCACCCTCATCGGAAATCTGCAGCACCATCGAAAACTTGCACAACCACCATCAGAAACATAGATAACCACCACCAGAAATCTGCTCTCAGCTCACCCCACCCCCTTCGAACACCACCTATCACCTCTCAATCATCACTACCAGAAAACCCAAAAAATATAAAAAAATAAAATAATTATTATGCAAACAATCCATAATTATGGCAAAATCAAAATGGGGAAGACAGCGTTCTTCTCCAACCAGACGTCGTCGTCCCCTCCACCTCCGACCAGACTTCACTAAACCACTCTGTCTCTTTCTTCATCTCTAAACCAGACGTCTCCTACACCACCACCTAGAAGAATTCGAAGAGACGATCTCTAGCGTTCATATCGGCGGAGTGCAGATCCATGAAGTGCAAATCCATGGATTACACGTCAGTGGCTTGCGGGGGAAGACGGTGGTGGATTGGAGGCAACACATGGAGGATTTTATTTCAGTTCCGGAAAACCGATCTCCTTGATCTCATCTTCCTCTTCTTCTTCCTCTCATCGATTTTGTTTCCATCACTTTCTTTCTCCCTCTGATCGGTGGGTTTAGAGGAGAAAGAAGGAGAATTTTTCTACTGGAAACCACCCTAAACACCACCATCTCTGTTGGATATGAAACTCCCATCTGAAACACAGATTTGAACCGCCACCAGCTTCTTTCTCTCTCTACTGTTGCTTTTGTTCTACATCATCCATTGAGGGTGGATGGTTTCATGATCTCGTTGGAGTATTTCAGGGGCGCCGATCATTAGAGAGGAAGATGAGTTCGAAAGGAAGATGAATAGGTGAGAGAGAAGGATAGAATCTGGGAAAGGGAAAGGAGGGGTGGGTGGGTTTGGACAAAATATTTTTTTATTTTTTATTTTTTGTATTAATTTAAACTGATAAATAAATTAAAATAAATTAAAAAACAATATATTAAGGGCAAAATAGTCATTTTATGTCAATAAGGACGAAGCGCGCAAGAAAAAACAAAACCAGGGACGGTCCGAGTTAATTTTTAAAAATAGGGACTAAACGTGCTTTTGGGCACATGCATGAGGGACGAATGGTGTAATTTACCCTAAACGATAATGGGGGAAAAGAAAATAGGGATGGTAAAACGATGATGGAGGAAAGAAATGTTATCGAGGATGATATAGTTACAAAATGAAAACCAAATCGTATATATTTACAAAGTTAAAACAACATATTTTATAGGTTTAGTACATAAGCTTAGGTGGGGCTATATATATATATATATATATATATATATATATATATATATATATATAGATATATATATATATATATATATTAAAATCTGGTTTTTTCTCTAAAACTTGTAATATATCTTTGTTTTCTTATTAAAAATAAATATAAAAAGGATATTAAGCTATTAAAAATGTTTGAATATTAAGTGTTAATAAATAGAGAAATCTACAGAAAAGTCCCAAATTTTTGGGAAAAAGTTTCAAAAAAGTTCTAATTTTTTTTTGAACATAAAAGTCACATTAGTATGAGAAAATCACATAATCTGTCATTTGTTATTCAAATATAAAAAAAGATTTTTTCATTAATTTTGGCAAAATATTAAATAATCGTGACTTTTCTATTAAAAAAAAAACTTTTAGAACTTTATAAAAAAATTTCTCAAAATAATGAGACTTTTCTACTTAATGTGTATCATCTAAACCGAAGGCTATGGCTTCAATTGTAAGATTATATATATACAAATATTTTAATAATTTGTCATATTATTTTGGTCAGAAGATATCTCTTTGAAATGTTGACTGAATTGGAGCAATAAGTCATGTTGAGAGAATAAAAGAATTAATTTTAAATGACCCAAAAGATTAATACTTTAAAGAAAGAACCTATATGTGATTAGAATGCACCTTTTCACAAAATCTATGAGTACCTTTGTGCTTGCCTTTTCCGTTAACTATAATTGTTCCCAAACAACAATACTTCACAAGTTGCTCTAAGAATTATTTTAATAAAAACAAACAAGAAAACATATCACATATGCAAATTACAAAACGAAAATATCATACTTTATTGAGTTTGGGTTCAAATGTTGTATATAACTCTTCACATTTGTACTTAACATACTTACATTTCTTTTACATACACACAATACCAACATGCTTACAATAACTTAACCATAATAGCAATATACATTGCTATTATAGGCTAAAAAAAGTACAATAAATGCATTGCTATTATGGGTAAAAAAACAAAAGGAAGGTTAAGAATAAGTGAATATCGCAAAGAAATTCAAACTTCAAATTTCTTACAAAATCAATCCCAAATATTGCGAAAAAAGTCAAAAACATATACAAACATGAGTTAATGGGAAAAGTCATTATTTTTTCTTGTCATAAGCCTCAATGTTCTGGGGTTCACATTCCGGACTAAAAAGACAAACCAGCAAAGTGGTCCCCGCACTTACTGTAACCGCTCCCGTACTTGCCCACCTCAGACTTCTAGGTACATTCGCTCTTGGACCTACACCAATTCACAACCTACTTTTTATTTTTTATTTATTTTTTTTAAATGGAATTTATTCAGCTTACTAGGTCTGGTAAGAGGCTGGATCTAACTCGGTCAGATTCAGACTATTTAATACAAAACTCAATCATATAGCCTCTGATATGCCTCTTACTGGTCTAACAAGAGGTTGGGTCTCACTCAATGACTCAATCAGATCTGACTCATCGACAACTATTAAACAGTCCTTAATATATTTAGAAAAGATTTTACCAACAATTTACAGAGATAAACAAACAATAAATAAAAAGTAGAAAATAAAAGAATTTAGGAGAAACCGTAATGCAGACGACAAAGGATCCAAAACCCTAAGGCTCCCCCAACACTAAAAACGCCAGCAGTATGCCTCATCAATCTTGAACAAGGTTTTGAATCAGCTCTCGTTAGTTCACCATCAGAAAAACCGAAAAAACATCTTAATGCCATTGCTTTGTTTTACAAAAGACGTTCCAGACACAAATTAAGTCCTTCAACACGAGCTTCCACAAATTAAACTCGAATCAATCAACTTGAATTAAACAAGAATACAATTGTGTTGAACACATACTTTAAACTTTATTTCAATTTTTTTCTTATGAATACATAGTTGATTGTACTTCAAAAGATCTATCCACTTATAGAAATAGGTAAACGGTTAAAGGGATAGTTGCCCCATTTTTTTTACTTCGCTTAATGGCTTTTTTTTGCCATGTCATACCATTACTTTCTGTAAATTTTATGTCATACATTGTTGACCTCTTTGACAAAAAAACTAATTTATAAAATAAAAAAGTTACAAAGGATAAAAAACTTAAATATTTCTGCCACGTAAGCAAGATATCCCACATGAACAGTGATACTGCAGAAAAATATGTTAACCTGTGCAAACTCAATGAGCTTTGAACGCTAGGTTTCTTAGAAATTAGAGTTTTTGGTTATCAAGGCTCGAAATGAGATTTCCAATTAAAAAAAAAGTACAAAACATATCAGTAAAAAAAATAGTGTTCAATGCACATTTATTCAACAGCTTCTCTTATTTTTCCACTGTATGCAACAAAATAGTCTTTTAGACGAAATATGCAACACGATAATATTTGGTTAGATGCTTATTTATGCAACAATGTATCACTTTTTCTCCAACTTATGCCACAACGTTTCATTTTTTTACCAATTCATGCAACAATGTTTCATTTTTTTTACCAATTTATGCAATATGATTTCATTCTTTTAACCAATTCATGCAACTTACATGAATTGTGCAACCATGTGTCAAATGGTTAACAAGGTAGGCGGTAGAATATTGTATCTTTTGGCTTCATTTGTCGCTGGATATTTTCTTGCATAAACAGGGAAAAGATGAAACGTATTTAACTCTAACATGACCATCAGCAAAGATTCCCTAAAAACTACTACTACCAAGCATACAATTTATAGACAATGCCAAATTATATGCACAAATAATCATAGCGATTACAGGACGACTGTAGAAAACTGATAAATTAGGTTAATTATAGTGAAGAAAAGATGATTTACCTGAGACGTTGGAACTTTCGTTGTGATTAAGTGTAATGGAATTGTAGAAACGTGAGAATCAGTGGCGATTTGAGGGTTTGGGAAGCGAAGGTTTATTCTTAAGACCAAATATCTCCTGGACCAAAAGGACGTGAACCAGTAGCAGTTTCCAGGCCAAAAACCAACCGAAAACAAGCAACGAAAGTACAAAAGAGATGGCGATGATTGGCCGGAGAATCAGGAGGTTGAAGCGATCTGAATATGAAAGTGAGCAGCTAATAGATGATTCCATTCGCGGGAGGAAAAAGCTTCCGCCAATGGACCAATGGAGCCCAAGTAATCCTAAACCCAAATGAGTAAAATTTTTTTTTTTTTTTAGGGAAGATAAGTAATCTAACCCAATATAACCCTTAGGCCATCACATCATACAATCCCACTCACATCAACTTTTACAATGAATATTCACATTAATGGAATAACACTAATCTTTCAAAAAAGTATCTACCACATCAACAATTATATATATATATATATATATATATATATATATATATATATATATATATATATATATGAGTAAATTACACGAATGGTCTCTATGGTTTAGAGTAATTTACGTGTTTGGTCTCTAACTTATTTTTTTAACTCCGAAGGTCCTATTGTTTGTTTTTGTAACGCGCTTGATCATTGTCTTACCTAAAAAGACTATTTTGTTCTTGAGTTTTTAATTTATTTAAATAAACACATCCTAACCCCACTCCCCTCATCTTACATTACATACCCTACCATTTTTTTCCTATTTAAATAATAGTCTTTTTATGTAAGACAGAGACCAAGCATGTAACAAAAACAAACAGTAAAGACCTCCCGACTTAAAAAAATAAGTTAGGTACCAAGCGCGCAATTTACCCCATAGGGACCATTAATGGAATTTACTCTCTCTCTCTCTCTCTCTATATATATATATATATATATATATATATATATATATATAATATATATATATATATATATATATATATATTACATTTATTCAATAATAAATAAACATAAATTTAATTATTATAATATTAACATTTTCTTTAAAATGGTCTCATTAAAAACTAAAAAAATGTTTTATATATCTTAAAATATATATTTGTGTGTAGACATTAGAAATAATATGAATATATAATAAAAAAAGAATAAGTCTTATATTTGCAAACCTTTCTAAACTTGCAAGATCAAATCCTAGGTGGCAATGAAAACTCATTTGCAATACTATCTGCCAAACCGCTGTGGATGGTCTGACCGTTGTGGATGGTCTTATAAATGACATTTTTGACATAAATAACAAAAAAAAATATTAAAAGTAACCACATTCTCCGGAACACATTGTTCCGCAGAGTTCTGGAATACAGTTTATTAGTTTATTTTTTTCTTTTATTCTTTTTCTTTTCTTTTATTTATTTTTTATTTATTTATTTTTTATTTATTTATTTTTTGTGTGTAACATGTGGTTTTTCTTTTAGAGTAAGTTTTGGTTTTATATAATGTAAGAAATTTTGCTTTTATAAAATGTAAACCTTTTGGTTTTATAAAATATAAAATGCAATTAAAATCAACAAAAAAACTAATAAATACATAAACTAAATAAAGAATAAGTATGTAGGTAATATTACAAATATGATGTTTAAATTAACTTTGTCCTTGTACCCCAAAAAAATTCCGCTAGTCGGTACCCCAGTAGTTGACTCCCACTAGCAGTTTGTGGATGCGGGCTCTCTGTTGGAACCTGAAAGTGAACCTCTAGCAATCTTTGTCCTTGTATGTTCCGTGGTAAGCCAGTTTTGAAGTCAGAAGAGGTTTCGGAGTCAATCAGTGTTCCAGAGTGAAATTGGTGTCCGGAACAAAGTCTATGTTCCGGAGTTGTTGTTTTTGAATTAGTGTTGTCCGAATGTACTTTTGTCGGTCTGAATTAATTGTATTTGTCATTTAACTTGATTTAACATGTCATAGGACTTAGTCTCTTTTTTCAAACCTAGATAATTAGAGTGTCAGAAACAACTCTATTATCCGGTCCTATGTTTGTATTTGGTCAGTACGATGTAATATGTTCTCCTATTTAAAGGAGCTTTCTATCTTAAATCAAATGACGGATTGTTCAAACAAATATATCAATATTCTAGTTTACTTCACCTTTCAAGTTATTCTCTCAAACATTCTTCTTGTTCCTCATTTATTATCTTTACTTTGATCATTATCTTCACTCTTCAATAATATCTTGAATACTTTGTTGAATGCATTAACTCAGACTTGACTGGTCTTGCCAGACTTGACTGGAACATTCCTTAGTTAGCAAACATTGATCTTAAGCATTAACTCAAGGTTTGAATTTTCAAACATTGTCCCTGCGCATCAGATCTTTTGTATTCACACTCTCATACCTATAAACCAATCCTCTTCTTCCGAACAGTAGCCACCTTTCCAATGACTATCGTATATAGTCATTTTGAATGTCTTCAAGTACAAAGCACCCAAAAACCAATGAGCTTGTGATATATTGATTGGGATGTAAAGCTACAAAAAAGTTAGAAATAATTAATTAGTATTTAAATACACAGGTAATGTAATCCAAAAAAAATTATAATGTATCACACTTTGCCCAAGCTGGGTAAACGGATTTGTCAGTCATGTCACTCCAGTCAAATGTATTAGAGTTGAAAGCTGACGGCACAACCGTCCACCAAGCATCATCCGATCTACGCTCTAGCAGCAATGAGATCCACATCATGATGTGCTGCTATTTTTTTTATTATTTATTTATTTATTTATTTATTTATTTGCAGTAAAGTAAGTATTGTTTTTAGAAGTGTAGTATGTAATGATCAAATAATTATATTACTTACATCACATTAATTATATTACTTACATCACATGACAACCATTCTCCATGACTATCCGCATATAACCGTGTCCAAAACTCAAGCATAGCAAAACCGGTCAAATAATTGTAAGCAAACAACAGCAAACCATCTCGTTCTTTATATACAATGTATATGGTAGGGTCTACAAGATTGTCCATCGGTGTTGGTTGTTGCTGTATAACACCTTTCCTTTTCATTTGTATCTGTGTCGACTTATACCATATGGACATAACTTTTTTGGCGCTTAGAACGCCTAAGAGGTACTGGTGACGGTGTTTTGTATTCATCCCGTGAAATGTATTTTACACCCGGCGATGGAATACATGGAGACGGCTAGTCGCGAAATCTATTTTACACCCGAGTAGCCGTCTCCACCCCTTTCAACGTACCAACATTGTCTCCGATTTTCTCATTGATAAGTTTTAGAAGCATGACTAAGGTAACGTCATGTTCTGCTAAACGCTCATCATGAGACCTTAAGCGCTCATACTAAGACTGCAACTGCACACGACATTCACGTACCTCATTTTTCAATTGACCGACCTCGTTTTGCAAGTCATTAATAAGTCGGCCCTTGTCAGTTGATGAGTCAGCAGCCGACGGTGGTGGTGGTGGCGGGTGAGTTAGATCATCTATCTGTGCCTTCTTTTCTCGAGGATCATGGGTAGGGGAGTTTTTGGGTGATGATGTTAGGGAAGGTGCCCTCTGAACTTAAGTGTCGGAAAACCAGGGCGATCAATCCACACCAAGCTAACAATCCACCATTCAACACACATCCCATCTTCCGTCGGCTCCAACTTTAGTACGAGTCTATTACGCTGATAACAAAATTATAGAATTATAATAAACATAAATTATAAAATAAATAAATATTTAAATAATAAATTAACCATACGACGTCGATTTGTAAAAACTGGTTGCAGTGAGTCTTTTGTAACGGTCTCAGTGTTGACCATGCAACAGCCTGAGGGATGACATTCTGTTGTTGTCAGGTACCAAACAAACTGCTCACCAGAAAAGTATCAAGAATCCATATATGAATGTTAGCAAAAAAATAAATAAAAAATAGTTAGAATGTTAGTAACAAAAAATAAATTTTTCATCATATACTTACCTTAAAAGTGTATAGAAAACCCTGTAGGGGTGTAGGTCAATTTATGAGGTTCGTTCTCTTTCGGTTCGTCTAGATGTATAAGCTTGTCAACCTTATTGAATACAGTAAAATGTTGTGGTGTACAATTGATCCCAAATTATCCTCCCCCGTGGATATCTGCCACATAAAAATTTAGTTAACAATTGAATTTCTAAAAAATATTAGTAACGATAAGTAATTATAATCAATATTTATAAAATATACGACATTATACATGTTGAATTTGTTGGGTTTTCTTCGCATCAAATAAACTTTAAACTAGGTAGTGGAAAAATCGAAACAACGATATACCTAAGTGTACATGCAACCTATGGATCTATGGTTTCATGTTAATTATATCTACCCTAGAAAACATAAAACATAAGGAAGAAAAACATACCTCTTATGTAGCCCTTGATCTCTAAGCTTGAGATCTTGATCCTCCATTAAGTTGCTTGGATGAGATGACCCAAACCAGAATCCTTCTAATGGTATCACACCCAATAACACCAAAGAGTGGAATAAAAATAACTAGGAGAAGGGTCAATTTCACAAACCCAAAGAGGGTTAGAAATCGTCCCTTTGGGAGGAAGAAGAAGAGGCGAAACTTCAAGCCAAGAATGAGCAAGGAAGAATGAATCCATAAGGCCCCATTTATAGCCTTGGATACCTTCCATGGTTTTATCCTCAAGCCCATGTGGGATGGATAACCCTAATAACGAAATTCCCTTTATCCTAAGGGAATTTTCGTCCACCACCCTTCTTCTTAGGGTTCTAGAATATTCCTGATCAACCAACTATTGATTAATTGAATATTCATCATTTGATTAATTAAACTGTTAATTAATTCCCAAAATATATTTCTAATTAGTTATTAACCATAATAGTTAATAAACCAATTTCTCATTTATTTATTCTAGTCAATTTGGGTATTGAGGGCAACCTAAAAGGACCCTGTTATTATTAGAAATATTACTAATAGTTAATGACCTTGGACACTCTTCCAACAGAATTCATCGAGGTTGGATAGCAAAGCAAAATACACTTCTGAAACAAGTTGTTTAGCCAACCACCCATTGAAACTCTTCTCTAACAGGTATAGAAGACATACACGGACCGCATCATCGTCCGATAACTCATTAAGTGATTGTTTAAACACATCTGTAACTTGGTGTAATTTGACCGAGACATTCGCCGGTACCATAGGAAAGGCACGGAAACGAAAGGCGGCGCTAGATGTAGAAGCAGGAAAATAGTCACCAAATCGGAAGCTGATGATGAGAAAAAATTCTTTCTTCCCGAAAGACAGCTAGTAACCCCCAACC